AAAGTTTCCTAGGTCACCTTAAACATAAAATCCAAGCTGCTAGCTTTTCAAGCAGAATCTGTGTCTTAACAATGCCTTTCTGCACACCCATTTTACTCTGGAGGAATATTTCCATCTCACAGAAGAGTAGCATGTTTTATTCCTGGGCACATCTGTTTCCTACTCTTAAAGTACATGCTTCAGCTGCACTAAAAGTGCTACAACTAAATTTATGAAACACTTAAGCACACTAAGTATCTATGTAAATCTCTACTCAGCCTTTAACAGAAAAGGGGAGAGAAAGAACACATCGTGAAAAACAGTGAAGGATCTAAGTGGCAAAGTAACTCTTGATATTCTCAGAGGTCTTCCACAGAGTAAGAACTGACACTCTCTCATATGTAAGTGATATTAAAAAAAGGCAAGATTAATTTTACAAAAATTTTATTACACAAAAGATGATCCAAACCCAGAAGAGCTGTCCTACAGTTCTAAGAGTTTTCTTCTGTGACTTGGACTTCCATATGCTTTTCCAAAAGGCCAAGATAAAAAGACTCATTAGTCCCACTTTCTTCTTACCAAGAGTGTTGGAAAAAAATATAGCAGCATCCAAATCTTACTTATTCTTTGTATTCCAAGAATTGCTGAAGTCTTTTCTTATGTTCTGTAGACACTTGCACTGCACTAAAAACAACAAATGCAGAACATATGATTTTACATTAAATGTAATACACCACAAACATAAAGCTTCATGCCAAAATTAACTATACATTGAAATCGCAATTACGCCAGAGCTAAACTTCAGAAAACCCAGCTGTATGTAAGATATAGGCTCCAAGACAAAAAAAGCATATAAACCCTTAAAACTGCCAATTCTTAACCTCAACAGCTTCCTCCACTACTAAAAGACATTTGTCCCAAGAAGCCTACCCTATTTCCTTACCTTTAAATACACACAGCAATTGTTTAACTTCCAAGAATTATTTTGGCAAGAAATAATCTCTTAGAATGATCTCTCCTGAATATCCAGCACTTCCAAACTGAGTGACATTTCATCCTCCCAGAGAGAGATGGGCAGATACTGCAGGAAGTTTCAGTTCCACATGCTCAGAGGCCAAGTGTGAAAGTCTGCCTGCTGTGACAGCAGCTGAGAAAGAGCCTCCAGACAACCAAGAAGCAAGGGAATTTGATTATTTGGACTCCTCATAGGATTCTCAGGATTCTCTCCCTACTGAACAGACAATTGTCTCAAGTTGATTCTCTTTCAACAGCTAAGATTTATTAAACAAGTAGCATTCATAGACTGCTTCTAAAAAGTTCATGAAAATAAGAATTGCCCAGAAATCTATGAATTACAAGTTTCTAAGGGAGACCCTGTATCTACACAAGAATTTAAGGTTCCACACATCTAAATACTAAAATACTATGTTAGACTAATGACCTAAAGGATTTTTGCCCAACCTCCCCTTTTCCCAATAACATAAATAAAAACTAAATTTAGCAAGCAAGCAATCATGAAGAAGTCCTTACTTTAAGTGTTCTCCAAAGACAGTAGTGATCCTGTACAGTGCTGTTTTCAGAGATGCTCTAAGTGCAAATCGCAGCGTTTTGTAGGACGTGTCCACCAGACTCCCTGAGATCTTGGGGGGTTTGCTAGAAACATGAGGCAGTTTGAAATATCTGTCTACAACCTGATGGAGAAAAACATGAATTAACTTGTTTCATCTGCTCGATTGTTTCACAATGTCACTAGCAACATGTCAAATAAAGCAAAAGTTCAGAAATTCCACCAAGACATACAGAAATATATTGGAGACTGAGCCTGACCTTCCACTTCCTGACCATCAACATGAACACAGAACCAAGCTCTGTGAACCAAGATTATCTGTTAATGAGTCTTAAATGCTAGGCCCAGCACACACTGCAGTAGAAATACAATTCTGTCCTGTTTCTTTCAAAAACAAGGGTATAGGGGGTTTTTTTCCTCCCTCGGGTGCCTACTATTGGAATAGATGAATTACACTGCCAAACTTTAATAACCTCTAAACTCTTTCCAAGAATCTCCATTAAGGCAGTATAAAATGATTATGTCAATAGGACACACAGCCTTGGAAACAAATTTGCGTATTTTGAAAAATACACATTACAGAAACATCAGTAATTTGAGAGTAATGTCTTAGTAGAGAAACACAACACAGATCTTATCTCCTGTGATTTGCAATGTCTCCAAGTGCTGCAGGAGAATTGTGTACAGCCAAATAAAGATAAGGTCCTAACTATGCATAAAATAGTAGTATGATTGCTGCATCCCTGAAGTAAGTTCTTTGACTGCAAAGTACCATTTTTTTTATATGAAGCATTCAATTAAAAACATGCTTTCTACTTTAAAAAAAACAAGGTTTTTATTCAGCTGTTCCATCACACACACTGTGACAACTAGTTGTTTTGTTTAGATTAACTGCAGAAGAGTTCTTACAGTAGTAACAACTCGAATGTTATGACCGATCAGCAAGGTTAAAATATAAAATTAACCAAACTTCTCCTAAACTTGCTCTGCAGTAAGGAAAAGTGTAACAGTTTTTACCTCCTGAAGAGTCAGTAAGGTATTCAGGATAGCTGGCAGTGTAGTTTGGACAACTCCAAATTGGTCTTCAGTAAAGGAGGCTGCTACCAAATGAGACAGACCTTTAAAAAAAAAAAAAAAAAAAAAAAAGATAGTTTCCTGTAATTGCTGAATTTTTAACTTCTGAAGCAGCAACAAAGATGATGGCTTTGCCTCAAGATTCTACTGCTGTGGTGAAATTTGTCAGGACTTGGTGCAGCCAGATGACAGTTACCTCAGCTTTGGCTTGCTTCAGGACTAAACCAGTCACTGGTTTGACACTGTACAGTAGTTTAAGGTTGATAAGGCAAACAAGATTACCCCAAAACATATTTCAAAAAAGTACTGGTTCCCTCTTCCTCTCCGTGCTCTGATGAGAGCTGTACCTGACATCAACCCAGAGGCAGAACCACAATTCAGGCAATACACAAACATTTCCAGATCACTTAACTAACTTTGTTCAGCTTGTGTGAGGAGCACTCTACTACTTTAAGGGAAATCTTGATGTAGCTTTAAATCCCTTCTCAGTTTTCTTGTTTCTCATATTTAAGAAAATTAAGAGTCTAGTCCTCTGCCCTTAGTTAAAACACATATGTTATCTTCTGCTTTTCTGCAAACAGCCTGTGTGATTCCCATCTCCTGACTATAGATCCCAACTCATCCCCTTCAGTCTTGACACAGCCTGGCACATCTGCCCATAAAAAAAATCTAACTTAGGAAAAAAATATCACCTGTTGCACAGACAAATCTAATAAAAGGCATTTGCTCATGAATTTGAAATAAACAAAAACCCCACAGTGCAACCATGTAGTTATTGTTCTTTTCATTCTCTGCAGACCATCTATTTCTATTTATTTATTAGGTTACTACCTGAGCACCTCTTGACTCTTTGTGATTAACAGAGAAAGACTCAGAGCCTTTAGTCCAAAAACCTGCTGTAAAGAGACATCATAAATCTGTTACTGAAAAAATTTGAAAGTGATGCACGGGTTCATATGGGAAAGAGGCAACAGAGATTAAGTTTCAGAATCTCTATCAAACCTCTACAGAACAAACATAAAAAGAGATCTCAAACTTACAAGTGAATTGGACCATAATTCATGCAGGTATCTCATATGCAGTTGTACTTTTGTAAAAATAAATTCAAAGCTTATTCTTCCATTACATTTCTAAAACACAGAGCCCCAGAAACCTGAGGTTAGATCCTTCTAGTTGCAGTTCCATGAACCAATGGAGTGGAACAACCTGGGAATAGAAACTGCTTACCTTCCAAAGCCCAGATGTGCATTTGGGCATCAGAGAACACAGCCTGGATTGAGGCTTCTGGGTGCTGGGAAGAAATCAAAGCATTCTGAGTGCACTTGATAAATACAATCATCAAAATTCCATGTATCAATTCAGGTATTAAACATCTGACCAGGTCATATCCATCCCCTCAGAAAAGATCAGCCAGGCTGACACATGTCAGGGAATACCCATAAAAATGTGATCTTTTAAGAAACTAAAAATCTTTTTGGACAGGACCTGCCCACAACACTATAGCTATGGTTGGGACTTACAGAAAAGAAAGTATATGAGCTAGCTAGTTTTCAAGGACTAAATAGGCCTTACAATTCCCCCAGTCCTATTTCATGATCTTGCTTGCCTCAGTCTCTGCCCCAGCCCATAAATGTTGAGAAAACACTGCTGTACACATGAACATAAACCATTATCACATACAGAAAAGAGCTACATATAAAGTATCTCTACTTGCAAGAAACATTTAAATCTCTGAAAGCAAAGACCTAAAGTAGGGAAGGATGTTTCTGTAAAATTCAATTGAGTTATTGTTCAGTTATGCTAAGGAAAATACCTAACTGCTTTTCTATGTAACCACTATGTAAGTTTAGTTTAAGTGTTCAAGTTCACCTGAAAAAGTAATATTATTAGTACAAATATTCCATAAGGAGAAATTCCCAAAATTATACCTACCACTTCTACCACAAAAGAGAAGTGACCAAAGAAAGAGTAGTTAACTGAATTTTAACATCAACTAGAAGCCATTTCATCTTACAGTAAGTATACAGAGAAAATTGCATTCAAGTACTTAGTCTTATTCAAGTACATAGTACTTATGTCTTATTAGTACATGATGCTTTAAGCGAAATGCAGTTTATAACCAGATAAGTTTAAACAAGTATTACTCTCTTTGATGCAGGTATGGGATCATCCTGCTATGAAATTCACACTTAGGAAAAATCTTAGATAAAAATGAAGGTTTCAGGGCCTTTACTCTGTGCCAAAGATACACAGTGCCACAGCAGAACTCATGCACTCATGCCATTTCTAGCCCATGCTGCTCAGTCCCAAAAGGTACGATCATAATTACCTTGCTGAAGAAATACATTATCAGCACTCTTTTTGACAAAAAGGTTTTTATCTGAAAAGAAACAAAAGATGAAAAACAAGCTATATTTATCTGAAGGCACGCACAGTTGGCCCTCCTCAACCCTACCATCTTCTCACCATGTAAAGGGATCCTGGAGTGGGAGGATGGATTTTTTTTACGTAAACTAATTGGAGAAGCAGTATTCATTAACAAAGATGGGAAGTTCAATCAGAAGAGAGAACACTGAGGTTAAACTGGCTGTAGCCTACCTCTACTGCAACTTTCACTCTACCTGTTCTTGCTTGCTTTGAAGCCATGTGTAAATAAAGCTTGGCTGTGCTGCCTCACTGCCAGCTCTGGCAGGAGAGAGCACTGGGAAGGATTCAGGGTGTGAACCATTCATTCGTAGATCTGCAAGAGAAACACAGTGACCTTCAGGATAACTGGCTGATGTCACTCTCATCCTCAACATACAAATCCCTATTGTCACACCTACTACACTTACGACTACAAGGCTCACAACAGTGCTGTGATAAAATCTCTACCTGAGCCTGTTGTCCACAGCTTTGGTCCCCTTCTCCTAAAATAAGGAATTTGGACTGATCCATGCCAAGGAGAACTTGAATCCAGAGTTCCCATCTTGGAATTTAAAGCAGGTGAGCTGAAAGGTGAACCAACATCAGACCCAGGTGATGTTTTTAAAGGTGTTAGGGATGATTTAACCAGGGAAGTCATGGAGGCTCTGAGAACAATGGTAGACTTCTGTGACTGGAAAGACACATCTTCTGTCGTGATGGCTCCTGATAACAAAGAACACACTGCATGAAGACAAACAGGCTGGCACATAAAAGATGGATTTGTTAATTTGACTGCTATTTCAACAACCTCTCTATCATTAGAGTTTTTATTAAAGGGTATTGTTTCCACTGTGGTTTTGCAAAGAAGTGCACATCCATGTGAGATTAAATGTTTTAAAAGTTCATCAGTTTAAGAACAGCACGTGATTATAAGGATCCTTGTGGATTTATTTTGTTCTCTCCTTTTGCTAGATAAGTTACTACACCCTGGTATATAACTACATAAAGTGTGCTTTTAGAATTAAGTACTAGAAAAAATGCTACCTATAGAAGAATGGCAATTCCTTCTGCTTGGTATGCAATAAAAGACATGTCAGTCACAAAATCCAAGGAATAGCAGCACTAGAAATTCACTTCTGACATACCAACAGTCCCCCCTGCTGCTCCCAGAGCACTTGTATCCTAGGCACTGACTGCCAAGGGATTTAATTACCTGGCACCCCTTGTGCTAAACACAGCTCTGCTGCTAGGAACGATGCACAAGTCTGGCATGTAAAATGCCTGAAATGCTTGCAGGCTGCACAGCTCAAGAGGCAAAGTGCCTTTTCTTATTCTACAGTGCTATTAGTGACTCACACAAACATTCAAAATATTCAAATTTCCCACAACAAGACAACTGAAACTAACTTTACCACCTAACAACAATGGTAAGAGCAGCTATGCAAATTACAAAGCATCTCTTGGTAAGATTTAAGTTCTCCCTCTCCTAGGTTCAACTTCTTATTAAAACTGTAATAATTAGACTTAATTAATTCAAGTGTGGAAAAAATGCTGTATTGAACAAAACATCATGCCAAGAAAACAGAGTAAACATGTTCTTTCCAAGTTTTTTAGTTATTTTAGGGTTATTTCAACAAGAATTCCTAAAATTGGAAGGACTTTTTTTTTCCCACATGTATTTGCAGAAAACCCTGTAACTCACTTTCCCAATACAACTTAATTGAGACTATTGATACTTTCATGCTTTACAAACTATTATGAGCATTTCCTCACATACCTGGAGTCTGTGGAGACACTTTTGGCTCTCCTGCTGGCTGCTTTGCTCTCCCATTTGCTGCTGCAGCTTCCTGCTTTGTGATCAGCCTCTGGGTTAGATCACTCAGAAGACTCAAACACTCCCTTGAGATTGCAGCCCAGTTGTGTGGGTGCCCACCTACCAGCATGCAAACAAAGCACGTTGAGCCCAGATGTTCATCCTTGTATCTAATCTGACAGTGCCCATATGCTGTCAGCATGAGCTTCAAAGGCTACAGGATCACTCTTTTTCTAAAAAGACACAGTGGACTTTCACTGGGACAGTTTATTTGTACTGAGAGGAAGATGAAAACACAGACAGACTCTATCCTCCCCATAACAGATAAATCTAAAGACTTGAGTGAAACCTGCTAAGTGGGGAAGAGCAAGCCATTTGGCCCACCAGATCTGGAATGACTAAACAACTAAAATGAACAAAGTAATATCAATAGTAGTGGTAATCTGTTTTGAAGTAGTCCAAACACTAGAAATCCTGATGAGATGTAACAAAAAGATCCTGAAGGCTTTGATGCAGTTTTAATTGACCTTTCCTTCCATATCTTTTGTATATAACAAGAGGCTTAAATAATAATTGAAATTATAGCCATTATTTGCTTTCACAACTCTAGTGGTGACTATTTATGCTTGATTTCACTTCACTCACCCATGAACATGAGGCTTTAAAACCAATCTGTTAGATGATTCAGTTTGGACTATTTGACTGGTGGTGTCAAGAGCACCCTGCTTTCAATACCCTAAGACCTGTGTTTCCACATGGCTGTCACTTAAATCAAACAACAGGCACCAGAATTTGTTGAGTTTAGTAGATGAAACAATATGAATATATATAATTAAGCATCCTTTTGAAAAAAGAATCATAGGGATATTTTTACTTCTGAGACCTTCTGGCTTGTGTAGGATGTGTCACAACATTAAATAACTTCTAAAAGCCTTAGACCACCATTTGGAAAAAACAAAAAGAATAAACATACTCAAGATGAAATAGTTTTTATAATTACCTGGCTGACTAAGGCTAAAGACTTCCTGTCGTCGAACAGGAGAATATTGGGAAAGTAACATCAAGTCTTGTAAGGCTAAAAACTACAAAGAAAGAAAAATTTTTTAGTGCATGCACAGTTCGACAGATTTCCTTAAAAAAATACAAGTATCTGTAAAACAGCATCCCTAACAAAGGAGGAGTTAACACAGGCTAAAAACAATCATGCAACAGAAGGCAGGGAAATGACTGCGTTCAACCCTGGAACCACTCTGAATGGCGCTGCTGAGTTAAGAACAGCTTCAGAGAACCTTCCTGCCAAGTCCTTTCTTTCGAGTTCAAGGTCTAACATCATTTCTTATCTTAACAGCCAACAGCTTAGACAGGAAGAACCAAAGATACAAAAAAGTCTAAGGAAAAAACTGAACTACCCAGTATGGCATGGAGTGCCAGACCCAGTAATGCTTTTTCATGTCATTATGTAGTTGATGTGGCAAACAAAAAATAACCAGATTTCACTTCAGTAACACCTGAGATGATAAATGAGACTTCTTCTACCTTTTAACTGTGCTATGCTCAACTCTTCCTCACCCATCCTTCCATAATGCAGCAAAGCTTAAAAAAAGGATTCAAATGGACTGCAGCCTATTGGATCTCCAGACTTACCAGAGATCTGTAAAATCATTAAATGTGGATTTTGCATGTGTAGGAGAATAGTCTTATCTTTACTTATACTTATCTTCATACTTCTAATATAAGGTCTCCAATTTCTAAATATTATCATAAATAAATCCCATTAATGATTGCCACAGTCAGACCAAAATACTCATCTTTACTCACAATTTTTAAGTAGCTTTCTAGCATTTTCTTTCTAAAAAAGAAAGCCAATTTCCAACATAAATATGGAATTTAATTATTTTTTTTGAGAACACACACCTAAGAAATATGAGTAGCAGGGGCAAAGAGTTAAAAGTGTATAAAAGGTTTGATAAAACACTTGCTTATCTGACAAAGCTCAAAGCTGAAAGAGTTAAATGCCACTAACCTGTTATTTTTGCATCTAACTAACTAAGCCAGTCTTCAGATCAGCCTTACAGGGCATGGTGAGCACCAGCAGATGTCACCACTAAACAAATTTTCACGATTAAGTGTAACTGCCTTCTCCAGTGTTCTGAGGCAGCTTTTTAAAATATTAGCACCTCAGTTAAAATAACTGGTACCTAGAAGACTCGATGACATGCTGTGACAAACACCTCAGCACACACCTCACTGGGAAGATGGTTGGAATTCCATTACCTTTATAATGAGGGGAGGGTTGCTGTTTAAGATTTTAGGCAGGCACTGGTCTGTCTCCTCAGCAAAAGTTGGCTGGATGGGAAAATGATGTGTCTAAATACAAACAGCAGAAGTGGTGTTATACAGAGCAAATTACAAGAAAACCTTAGGAAACACCACACCCAAGCTGTTACTTGTCAGATGAATCATAAACTACACAAGCTCATACACCACTGCTTCAATTTACTATAACCTACCTTGAAATTTCTAACATAGAAACAAAAGACTTTACTTCTTACATGTAAAATTGAGAAATATGAGCAAATCCAGGTATTTTTATCTTCATATACCTTCCATGTACCCACAGAATTCATAGCGAGGGGTGTAGAATCATTATGAAAAAAAATTCCTCTAACCAAATATCCAGGGGAAAACCAGTGACACCTTTCAGATACAAGACTGAAATATAAGATGTCTCTTTAATCACTCTGGTGAAAAATTTGAAGGTTCTTTTACCAAATAAATATTTATTTTAAAATTCTTCTTTTGCACTGTTTCACTGAAAAGCTAATTCTTATTTTTAACACCATTAACATTTAACCTTTTTAATAGTGTTTTAATAGAATTTCTGTTCTTGTAGCTACAACATTGAAAATGTAAATACTAGTCCTTAAATTGTATCAAACCTTGCATGTCTTTAATGCTGTTTCACATGGGCCAATTTTGTGTTACTGCCCTGATTTTACCTATTTTATTATTTTACTCTTCTCAATTTTGCAGTCAGCAAACAGAAATTAGAAGTAACAATTAATTTAAAAGTGTTAATGAAAGAGAATTCACATGGACTAAGCCCACAGTTTCTTTCCTGAATTTTCAGTTAACACTATTCAAATCTTTACAAACAGCTTTGGAGATTTTTTAGCTCGTTAAAAAAATAATTCTGTAGATAAAACAAATCTTTTGTTAAAACAACAAGGTCCATCTTTCACCTTCACAACTGAATGTTTTGTTTTGACTTCCAGAGTTCTAGAAGCAATACAGTAATTAAAGACTAACACAGAGTTCACAGGTGCTGCAACTATTATTCTTAAAAAAAGGTTCACACCTCAGAGCTGTTGTTGGAGCCTCTCTGACACCTCATTACCTCAGTTATGCCTAATCCTATTGTTAATCTTTTCTCCATGCAGTCACAACAGGATCTTTTTAACTGAAGCTTACACTCCCACAAGCACTGTGTGCCATTGCATCCCCTAAGTGTGTTCTGTGAGGAATTAAACCTTGCTTTTTTTTTTCCTACTAATCTGCAGTGTAGTCATGTTTTCTAAAAAAAAAACCACAAAACAAAAAACCAAGTTAGATTAACAGGTTTTTTAATCTGTATTCTCTCAAAGAAATACCTGGATTAGGCAACAAAGATCAAGACTTCTCCAAGTCTTTGTTGGCAAGACCTTTTTTCTCTATCATGGTCTCGCATTTATTCATTAATTCATTATATGTTTAAAGTCTTTTTTTAGCCACATTAATTTATAACTTTATGATTGAATGAAAAAGCATAAATGTCTTAATTCCCAAGATTGCCTGAAGTCTATTTTAATGCTGCAGCCGGAATTTGATTAACATGCCTCTGCTTTGGAGAATTGTGTACTTTGATGGTTTGCTTAAAATGGAGATTTCCAGAGCTTAGCAAACAGCAAACTGACAGCATTTTCTCTTTCCTATTGTAAAATTGGATTAAGAACTGTGCCAATTCTGGATGTTATCTTCCCATGTAACCTGTAGCTGTTTGTCACAAGTCTTCAGCAGCAAGTCTTACACCCAAATGCAAAATCATTGCTTGGAATCACAAGCAGGGACCCAGCCAGTAAGCTCTGCGAGACACACAGGCCCTGTGCTGGCTCATCTGCCTTCACAACTAACGAGGACAAAGAACACAGTATGGACTCCATGAAGCACAAAGTGGTTCTCTGTTAGGGTGGCCCCAACAGTGTGTGCATGTGGAGAAGGGAAACATGGGAACAGAAGGAGGGGACTAGGAAGAGGAGGTGGAAATCACAGAGCATTGCTGTAAACCAGTTAGTTTTGTTAGCAACACCAGGTTGTGCTGCTTGGGAGAGAAAGGGAAGGTCAGTTAACCCCCAAGCCTCTCTCAGCTGTTACCAGATGTTACCTGTGATGCCATGCTCTGAAAATTCAAGAATTTGTAAGAAATTATTTCCTAGTAAAACTGCTTGGGAAAAGAACGTATTATCTGTGAAACACTGATGCTACACCTTCAGCACTGTTGCCAAGTACTAACCTCTGTAGCATAGATTTTGAAGAGTAACAATGCCATGTACCAGGTAACCAGAAGAAACACACCACATAACCAGGCATGGTAAAACAAGGAGATGTCCAACAAGCCAGTCAGAGTGTCCAGAGGATGTAATTTACTGCAGAGAAAACAACCACGAAGATATAAATACTTTTTATTATGGAAGATGTCCATAGAAAGCTGTTATAGTAACAACAACTTTAAGAAAAAAGTTGCATCTTTTTTACAAAACCAGTTTCTCAAAGATGTTTGAAGTAACACTTCCTGAATTTTTCAGTAACCATGATGAAGAAAAAATAATGAATTTATGGAAAAGAAATATTAAATAAAAATTATTACCGTTTTATTCAATTAAAGTATTAAGATCTCAGCGTCCCTACTTTAAAACAAATGGTAGCCATATTAAAATTAATATATGCCCCCCATTAAAAAAAACACAACAGATTAAAAACATGTATAAGATTGGGAGAGATCTGCCTTTCTAGTATTTTAGAAACTTACAGAGATGGAGTAGACTAGAGAGGATTTGTTAATCGTTATCTACAAGATGGTTCCTACAAGGGGATGTTCCTTCTGGATTTGTTTCAGAAGTGCCCAATGCTCCCCATGCTCTGTGTGTGGAGGCAAGGAACCAAATTACACTGCAGAGAAAGAACCTGGTGCTAAGGTGGCCTTCTTCAGCTAAGAGAGCTGTCAGCAATATTCTCCTGCAAGTTTCCAGCACAAGGTTCTACCTACCTGTCTATATGAAGATTCATCGTGGTACTTAGCCAAACCTTTGGGATATAACCTAGGGAATCAAAAGAAACACTGAAACAAATATAACACTGCAAAACACTTAACAGGCCAAGAAAAAAAGAGAATGTATGTATAGAGGCAAGAGACTTGTTGTAACACAGAGACCAGGAAATGATCTGCCTTTGGGTTTGTTCTTTAAGAAATAGAAACAAGAGACAGAAAAAAAGGCTTCACACCAACAACTGTGCAGTGAGAGATGCTGGCCTTATCTTTTACTGCTAGCTTCTCAGCACTGAGTTATTGGTGTTTCCTCACTAACAAGAGAAGGTCAGTAATAATTTAATGCTCATTTTCACTACAGCTCAGGCAGCAGCAGAGTGCTCTTAAAGACTTAATGGAAACTGATTTAGAACCCCCATAACTTTTAGCTTATACCATAATGTAAACAGAGTGGAAATAACAGGAAGATAACAATAACATAAAAGCATCCTGATTTTTAAAAAGTCACTGAAATAATTTTCATCAATACAGATTTATTTATTTTTAACCTTTTTTAAAGACTAAACTTCATTTTCACATGGTAGGGAGCCATATCACCATCTTCCTCCAAATAATATAAAGGGCACTTGAAAATAAAGCCCAAGTGCTAATTTTACTAAAAAAATAAGTGAAAATATAGCAACGTGACATATACTGAAGTCATGCCCACTGCTGGTATGTCAAGCTCAGCTCTCTTACACTGTATTTCCAAAGGAAGGAACCGGTCCAAGATGACTACCCCTGTTCAAAAATATTTGGGAATATTTAATGAAAAAGGGGAATATCTCTTGCAGACTAACCCAATTTTTTTAATTGCACTGTGTTTTCAGATTTATAATCTTTTTTTTTCCACAAATCAGGGCAGGTATGTATGAGTGGTCCAAAGCATCAGCTTTTAAGACGTACACTTGTAAACCACCAGCTGATTATTAGCTCCTCTTACACACAATTTATTGCACAGCTGCCTCCAACAAGATTTCCCAGAAGAGATCACCAGGGACAACAGCCTATGTTTTGGTACAGTGACCAAACACAGATTAGAGTAGAAAACTACTCTTCCCCACTCCCTTCTCCTTAGAATACCTGTCATCTTCTTACAATGTTATCAGCTAGACAATAAAGCCTTATAAAAGGTGTTAATCTCCCTGGAGAAGAAACATTTATCATATGCTAAACCTCTTTATTTCTGTAAACAAATCTGTGCCTTCAGCAAGTCATCTGTCTGGAAGGCTGAAAAATAGTGTAACAGGCCTGACTGATTACAGATACATTTTTTAAAATACAGGAATTTGAAATAAAAAGAGAGATAATGAATCTCAGGAAACCTTACCAAAAAAGTAGTATGTGACACAGAAGTTTCTAATGAAATACAGAGATTCCACACAACTATGTTTAATGAGGAGAGGCAAAGATCTTCGGAAACGCAAGTACTTGTATTGCTGAAAACAAACAAAAACTAGTTTAGTATTGTGCATTCAGAGCTAAACAATTTAATGGTTACAGTACTTGAAAACTTGAAATCGAGATGAATTAAAAAATCATAGTTTAAGGCTATATTCTCCTTGCTTTTTCTGCTATTTTATAGTAATTCCTAGTTCTCGCTGTCCTTCCTACTTGTAGCCGTGTGAAAATGGAGGACAGGATGTCTTGAGCGTATAGACAGGGGAACAAACCAGAAGTGTTGTCTAATGTAAAATAAATTTAAAAAACCCACAAAGAAGGCACATTGAATCTACTAGATTTCCTTTTGATTAGAAATGTTCCATTAAAATACAGAGCAAATTTAGACAAGTTTCAGAGCCAGTAACCCCCCCAGGCAGTGAGACCAGTGTGAGACTGACACCTTTCCCCACAGACACATCCCAATCGACCACATCAACCTATCTGACACTTCCGTGCAAGTGAAACCAAAGTGATTTCATTGACCACTTGGCTACGTTGCATTAAAAAAAAAAACAGACAAGGAAAATTAACAATATCCAAATTAGTATTTTTTAAAATACTAGAACCACAGCATTGCCAAAACAATGATAAACTGAAGAGTCATGAAGTGTTTTCCACTAATACAACCAACCTCCTGGTTTTAAAGATACCTTTTGCCAAATTGGTCAGACTTTGGAAATCTGGGAATCAGGCAAAGCTAACAGCTGCTGCCAGGCTACAGCAACAGAAGTATGTAGAAGATGATGTTTCACAAGCCCCTCATGGCCATTTCACATTGGTACAGATTTCTGTGGAACTGCCAGAGCCCTCTCCAATGGAATTAACTGAATTTCAGTTTCTGCAGCACATGAAACAAGCTTTAGCTGTGGAGCTTTAACCAAGATTAATGTGCTATTTAGACTTTAAATGATCTGGTATCCAGCTACAATTGATGACAGGTGTTTTTTTCCTTCTCGGGATTTTCAGCTTTTAGGTGACAATCCCTGACTTTAAGATTCAGTTTGTGCACACTGTTCTTTTCCTTTCATTCACTTTCCTCCTCCAGGAAGGAGGAAGACAAACACCACTGGCATTTGAAACTGAGGGTTGGCTTTGTCTGCTAGAGAAAGCCTGGCAACAGACAGCTGCTTCTGCCTTGTCCAAGAATACCAACAATCAAGGCTTTTTTTGTTGACTTAATACAATTCTTTCTGCAAAGGTGTTTAAACCACTTACCTGTATGATTGGGAATGGCAAATAATTCATATTGTTAATAAGATACAAAAGACTGTAACTGTATCCCACAAAAGTTCCAGAAAGTAGAAAAAAGAGATGATATTCATTTAGGCACCTCTGAGGAGCAGCAGCATCTGGGCTAAAATAGAAAATTGAGAATTAATTCTGAGTTTTTAAAAGGAAAAAAAAAAAAGTCATTCTAGTTATAGGAAGTTCAAATCAGAAGTTTGATGTTTATTTTCTCGATCACTACATCTGAGGATATCTCAGTAAGTCTTCTAAAGCAGGAATCCCAGCACCTATTTTCATAATTTATGGATGAGGGTGCTTCCAGCATTTATGAAGTATGTCACATTAACCAAAAGACCAAGACTTAGTTCAAGTGACAATCCATTTGTCATCATTCAACTTTTCTTAAAGAATCCTGGCAATTCAGTTTTTCTGGCCCAGTTATTTTTCTATACACTGTAAAATTGCCAAAGGAGGGCATTTCCTGTCCTTTAATAAAAGCCACAAGCATAAATTTGCTTATTTTTGATAGCAGTCTAAGTTTTTTGTTTGAAAGAAGCCAATAGGAAAAACATTTCAGAAGTTCTTAGCCTCACCTATGTTTAACACAGGAATAGTTACCTTTCTGAAGGTGTGCAGGGCACAGCAAGAAACTGGAATTTCCCTTTTGTCATAAGTGAGGCACACCAAGCAACCAGCAGTCCCATTGTAGCATGAGCAACTGAATGGATAAGGTGCTGAGGGTGAATGACTTTTCCTATCAGTGCTAATCGAGAGCAGGGGATTGATGGCACAACTGTAAATAAAAGCCAACAGGGGATTTTCATCTCTTGTTAACAAAACTCTTCATTAGAAACAGGAGGGGAAAAAAAACAACAAACCATTGGCACCAAAAAACTTTTTGCAGTTGGAATCAGACACTAAATGCAAAGGAAATCAATCAAGCAGCTCAGCTCAGAGGGTCTCAGCCAGAATAACCTGGAATGTTTTACTTAAAAGCAAGCTTTTCACATTGTCTGCATTCATTTAAAAGGAATCTATCAACGTTAAGTACAGCAAATGTAAATGCAAAGCTCGTTAAATGACCCCTATTTCATTCAGGTATGACAGCAATTTGCAGAACCCACCTGCATAAAACTGCACGTTGCAGATGCTGATGATTAGTATCACCACAGACATAAGGAGGATACAACAGATGAAGCGGGAAGTGTATAAATCATTGAAAGAATCTAAAATCAAAACATATATATTACTGCTCAGAGGACTGCAGTAACACAACAGCGATGAGCAACAGAAAAGAGCACTTAAGCAGTTCACAATAATCCCCTCAGTGCATAAAGGAGCCGCGTTCAATGGGCTCAGTCTCTAATCCCACAGCAGATCTGCCCAGCTGCACAACGTTTCCGAATAAACGCCTATTTAGATTTCACAGAAACTGCTTCATACCCTTATAAATGGTCTTCTCACAAATGGACACTCAGAATTTTGGGTTTTTTAAAAAAACAAAACCTTCCAAAGTGAATTAAGTTACATCTCAACTAACTCAACTTCCCTGCAGTCAATAAAAGCTGCAGCCACGCTTAAAAGGTAAATTCCTTAGAGAAAATTATTTTTTAGACTCTAGAATAACTTAGCCTGTTTTTTGCCTCCGAAGGACATACCCACGCGAGCTTGGAACTGCTGTTCCCACCTAGGGATAACGACGGCGACCGCGGTTACAAGCAACACATTCACACACCGTTCGGAAACACGCGCGGCAGAAACGCAACTCAAGCTCCCGTTACCCGAGACGGAGCCTAAATCAGGAGAAAGGAAAACCCCCGGGCGGGGGGTGAAGCCCGAGCACCTACTCGATATCCAGCGCAGCGGGTGGAAGGGGTCGAAGCCGCTGAGGACGCCGAAGGCCGCGGTGCAGACGGGCAGCAGCAGCACG